TCCAATACTTGGCGTTGTTGGTCCATTCACATATCCTCTCATGGATCTGCACATCCTGGACTATATATTCCCTCAAACAATTGCAGGTTTTACTAGGGCCCACAGTCCTAGTTACTTGCACGGAATACTTAATTTATGTATTTGCTTCATAGGATTCTGAATCAGTGGCTGAAAACTACAGATTAAAGATTAAAGATTGATCTTAAACAAATCATGTATGTATATATGTGGAATTATGCATAAACAGCAATCCCACGTCTGTCCTTACCTTTATATTTGATCTTTCGTGCATTATGCAATAATCAGTTCGGTGGAAGTGGGATGGAAATCACAGCATCACTAACCATCTATTGAAATATAAATCGCTCATCACATTCCTCAACTCAAGTGGGCCGGCCAGACTACGAGGTGGCAGTCTCGCAAGAAGTTGGAGGGAAGGCAATTAATCAACTGGGATTCAGGAGAAAGCGAAATGAGATATAAAGCATTATATTCATGTGGATGGGCTTCAACTTCTTCTCACGCCACTAGTTTGTATACGGACTCTTTCTCGACGTCAGATGTGGGTTTTGACTTGACTTCTTCTGCCTCTCCAATCTCCATTTTGACACTTGACACCCTCCATTCCGCCATACCGCCGCTCACCGGTAAAAGAATCCTGCCAAACCGCCCATTGTTTTATATACCATTGCTTGGTCCAAATTTGAACCAGAATTTCCAACCTGATCAGGTTTAGGTGCTGCATACACACGCCCCTCTTGTGTGGCTCGTGTTTCTTCTCTTCCTCTCTTCTTTCCAGATGGTTGGTTGGGGTGTTTAGGGTTCAGTTAACTGAACCAAAATCGAATTGAATTTGATCGTTATAATTTTGACTATTCAGTTTTTTGGTTTTTTATATATTTATAATAAATTTATAAATATATAATATAATAAATAATATATATATGTATATATAGTGCATATATATTTACATATAATTAATATAAATATGATAATATGTATATAGTATGTATATAATTTAATATATATAAATATGTATATAATTTAATATGTATCGATTGGTTTGATTAACTATTAATTTGCTAGGTTAACCAAAAAGCAAATCAGTCCTTCGGTTTGTAAAAAATATTAAATTGTAACCGATTTTTTTTCGGTTTGATTCAATTTTTTAATTTTCCGGTTTTTATGAACACCCCTAATAGTTGCTTGCATTCATGTCACAATCCGGCTCAAGCTGTCTGCCTGGGAAAATTGGATCAGTAATTGATCCACGGCAACGCATTTGTGGATTGGGGTTTTTAATGAATATAAAATAAGCAGGATTAAATCGAAAAGTGTTGGATAATAGGTGTTGCCGACCTAAAGAGTCCGAGTAATTATCGAATAAGATATGAAGTAGTGTTGTTTTGTTTGAAGCCGTTGGTTGGTACTGTGGGCGTGACGTGGTAAGAAGGTAATGGACAGGCAAGCAGACTACGTGTCAACAAATGGAGAAGTAGGCGTGGATTGGATTCTCATCGTGCGGTCAATGCTCATTAGCATACTGGTAAGTCCATGAATGGAGTCAGAATACTCGTATCAATCATGAGAAAAGGGAAATACATGGTCGGACAAGTTCCAAACTTCCAATTGCTTCCGCACAACTATTGGCGTGATTGTGAGTGACAGATTGTGACTGAGGTGAGAGGCATGTAGAGTGTTTGTTTGTGTAGGGCTGGAAGCCGGAACTGGACATCACAATCTGAAACCGGTTGTGAACTTGTGATTGATTCAGAGGATCCTATTTATCTGAAATTTCAAGGGATTTAAAAAAAAAAAAGAAAAAGAAAAGCTTTGAAGCAAGTTGGTGTTATATGGGAATTGACATAGGATATGTAATGTAGGTGGCCGGGGGCTTTGGGCAAAGCTCGGGTCGGCTTCCATCAGCGCAAACCGTGTCCACACCGTTTTAATAGTCTTTTACAATTTTGTATTAGGAATATCTCTCTATAAAATAAGATATACAAGAATGAAAATGTTCTTAATGGAAGGCAATAAAAGTTGTTTGAACAGGCTTTATTCTGATGTTAAATCCCGATTCAATCAGTGTAAAATCTGTTCCAACATCCATTATAAATTTACATTAAGCATATCTTCTCATCAAATAAAGCATAGAAGTATGGAGATATTCTCTATGTAAAGTTTTAAAGGCTCTTTGAACAAGATCCATTTGGATGTGTTTTAATAGTTGGACGTTTGTCACACTTTTTTTATCGCAATGCTACCTAACGTCATTGTTCCTTATATTTTGAGATAAATAGACTCCACTCCCCCTCAGAAATCTAAAATTACAGTTCCCTCCTAGTCTAATAATAGCCCTTTTATAAACCGCATCCTATCCATGATTTGGCATCAATCTGTGATCAAAATTCATTGCACCTATACGATAAAGCTAAGATCTTTTAGGGTGAACTGAACAGTAAAACCCCTTTTTATCGTCATTTTTGAAAAGGATCCTTCTTTCTACTTTTGGGATTGTGTGAGCCCAACAGATTTTAAGTCTGCGCGGACGGAGCCCAACAGATTTCAACACCCTTTCTATAAAAATACTGACTAGTAAATGGATAGATTCATGGGCTATTGCAGGTTGAAAAGAAAAAAAAGGTTCTTCATTTGTTTTCTCAATTCATTGGCTGCATAATGGGCCGTAAGAACCTAGGTGGCAATGGAATTTGATCTCCAAACGACTTCCACATGGGCTGGTCTCGGCTTATCTTTTGCAAAAATTTTGAAAGGGCGCAGCCCAAAGCCCAGCCTGTGAATATAACCAATCGGAGATCTCATCAATTTATCTGCCATTAGTTGGTTGAAGGTACTCTATTACAGCATTACACTAAATAGGTGTATATAGGGACTGGATCTGCCACCAGTATTCCTCCCCATGAATGACAAGGGGGATGTTCTCAATTTGCGGCTAAAGTGGTTTGTTAGGAGCAAATTCAAACTCATGGAGATGTCTGTCTGAATTTCTTTTGTTTGGTAAATGGGGTACATAAGGGAGCAATTCACCATGGATCTACTTCTCACACCAACTTCACATGACATCTCAGTTGCATATGGAAAATATCTCCCCTACTTGTGTGTTGTTTTCATGGGAAGATGTTCCCAATACACGGTGAATATGTGCTGTGAGGTCGATGTGAAGTGTGATTTGTGAGGAATAAATCCCGATTCTCCACCATGACTGAAAATAGCTTAGATGGTCTCTTCTCTTGAAGTCCTAGTATAAGTGCATAAGAGCATAAATGAAAAAAATGCAAATTCTTGTTTAATTTTGTTTTAAGTTTTATTTTATTATGCTTTATGTCTTAATTTACTTTATTTGTATTTCAATCAAACAAAATAAGCTAAAATTAAAAACAGAAATAAATCAGAATTTACATTCAGATCATTTGCATTGTCATGGTTTTTCATCAGTGCAAATTTATTTGTATTGCAACCAAACACAGCCTATAATGTGTATTATGAAATACAGAGGAGAAAAAGGGGATTAAGGGAGCAGTTCTATATGGGTTTGTAAATGCAAACCTATGAACTTTAAGGAATGTTTTGTGTACACGAGGGTCAGGACTCAAGAGCCCTCTCACCTTAATGCTTACATGATCTCCCTCTCCTCTCATTGCACACCAAGGTTTTTAAAAACGGACCGTTTCATGGTCTGCTTCTCGGGTTAAATGGTCCAACCGTTTGGTTTTGGCCCATTCTAACAAAAATTAAAAAAAGGCAGCTAAAAACTGTTGGACAGTTCGAACAATTTGAACGTCCGAATCAATAGTTTGTTAATCAAATCAACGGTTTTGGCCAAAATGACGATTTTGGGGTAAAACAGAACCGGTCAAGTGATCGATTCACAATTTTTCCAGTCTGACCATTCGGTCCAGTCTAATTTTGAAAATCATGTTGCACACACGTGGTTATCTATGTTATAGGAAAGACATAGATAACCAATCAAAACCCCTTACCCCCATGTGAATTTTGATAAATATACAATCTGATTGGTTATCACTAAGTAATACTGGTTCAATCTCACAACTTTTTCCAGTATCATGCCGTTTTGTTCTCTCTCATTGTCAACGTTTTTTGCATCTCCCCATTCCCAAGGATTGAGCTGTTGGGGGGGCTAAAAAAAACAAAAACAAAACTTGACTTGGCCCCATACTTTCCTCTTAAATCTCTCTAACCTTTTTTTTTTTTTTTCTCTTTGATAAATTAGATGGATTTGTCTAGGTTATAGGAGCCGATTAAAGATAAGCACAAAATAGGAATTGGCTTAGATCCAAATAATTAATGTCAAAATCCAAATTTGTCAACTTAATACTAACCGAATTTATATTCAACCCCACACATTGCATGCATGGATTTACTTGCCAGTATTATATAGATGGAGAGGCTATTCTTTCTTTTATATAGTTGATAGGAAGCTTTGAATCACCCTCAAATAATGCTACTATTATATTCCAAGTTGGGAGTAAAATATAAGGCTTCATTTGACATCCAAGCCCCTAGTGTTGATTGGCTGATAATGTGTTTCTCCAGTTAGTTCCTAGCAATGTAGCAAATTGAAGTCCACCAGTTTTAAATTTGACAGAGGCATCAAGATTGATTTTGACCTGATCAAGTTATGGTGCTCTCTATCCAATATATAGCACTCCCCTGTTCACTCTTCTCTATGATGGATGATTACTGGATTGGGTTAGGTGTTGAGATTGCGTCATTGGCTCATTGCTTCCATATGTTTAAGTATAATTTGTGACCATTCGTTCTCTTGATCCTATTAACCCAAGAAATTGATGCTTGTTACTGTTTTACTTTTTAGGTCCCTGACTCAGGTCTACTCAAAGTTACTTTTTGGATGCATGGCAGCCTACGTCGTTCTCTAATGAGGATCTGAGTTCCTCCCAAATTCACGACTTGCACAAAATAAGAGTAAAGTAATCAACAAGGTAAAGAATATCCCCCTATGAAACAAAATAAAGCAATTGCAGAGTTGATTTGTAGATGGCATTTTCTAGATTTTTCTCAAACATTTCTTGAAACATATACTGGAAAGTAAAGCCGTAAAGGAATAAGAATAAGAATTTTTACACCACAAAATATTCTCCTCTCACCTAGTGCCTAGAGATGGTGGGATTACAACTTTACATCCCAAATCCATAAAATCCTAGGGCATGGAATCTGCCAGTTCCTCTGTTAGAGCTTCTTCAAAACACCTCATAGACTCATCCATCAATTCAGGACTCAATCTGAACATGAGGGCACAGAACTCCATCTGGTTAAGTGCCCCATCACCATCCATGTCTCCCTCTCTCAACATACTCAGTAGCTCATCATCCTTCATGCCCTGCAAACCCAGAAGAGCAGAATTTCTCTTCAAGCTCTCGAATGTGATCAGACCCTTTTCGTTATCCATGAGCAATCGAAACCCATTACAGAGTTCCGCGATCAGCCCATCACCTCCCAACTTGGAAGCCATTGTTGGCAGGAAATCTTCGAACACCACGGCATTACCGGCCATTGCTAGATGAAATTGTGTAATGAGGATGGGTGTTTGTCTATGTATATTGACAGAGATTGTAGAGTAGCGAGCCACAGATGCAATACACCCCAGAGGACTGGATCTATAAATAAGAGAGCGATATGGAGAGGCAAAACTGACAAAGACAAGTTCGAGGAAGGACGATTGCCTCGCATGGTTGCCAACCAAGAGACAGGTAATGAAGGGTTGTGTTGGGATCGATTGGGGGATGTTGCTATTCGTCACTTTCCTTGAAGTTGCACCGGTTATTCTCTTTGTAGTTTGGACTGTAGACAACACTTCTCTTGTAGCAGAGGGTCAGAGGCTCGTGCTCTTAAAATATAGGGGGAAATCTAGTCATGTTTGCCGGGAAGGTGACAATCCGCCAGGCATTCAGGGGATCAGGATACAACAATCTAGTAGGTCCCAGCTTAAGAGATCCAAGCGTCCAAGTTCATTGCATTCAGATGATCTCAACCATTATTTTCGTGTTACGTGAGGAAACTGCATATCTGATCCATGGCTATGGCTATACTTTCATTTTTAATTTTTTTTTTATCGTCAAAATTACCTAAATAAAGGCCCATTAGGTTTAGTCGTAAGGCTTCAAAATAAATAAAAAAAAGGCCAATTAGGTTTAGCTGAAGGCTTCAAAATAAAACAAAAGAGGCCCATTAGGTTGGGTTATAGCCCACTCTTCCCGACATGTTAGATGTGACGCACGTGTATTTTTTAATATGCTTGTCTCTGGAAAAACCGATGAGGTTAGAATATTTTAGTTTGAATTTTAAACCTCAAAAGTTTCGGCCATTTCGGGTAGTTGGATTAAGAGCAGACTCCGCCGGATCTCTTGACCATAAGAATTCTGCCCACGTCTATCCACAATATATTATCCCCGTGAATTAGGAGCATCTCCCCCTGTATAATACCATGCAGAGAATGAGATGTTCTTCATGTGTGTCTACTCTAGACTCCTAAGACCACAACCAAAAGTTTTAGAAATTTGGGATATTTTGGGTAATTCTGTCTTTTACTTTTATTTTAGTTATTAGTGGATACCCGTGAGATAAGTTATTTTGTGGGAGAAATTCAAGTAAACGTTGTCATATCTTGGGCGTGGAGAGGAATTCTTAATAGGGATTTCTTAGTAAAGGAATAAGGATGGGAGTTGGGAAATGGTAGGGGTGCATGATCCGATCTTATTTGATCAAATTTGGATCACCCCTGTTTGGATTTTAGAATAAGATAAGAGGATCTGACCAGAAATTGGACCGAATTCAAATCACCCCTTATCCAGTCCGATATATATTATATACTTATAAATATATATAATACATATATATATATGTTATTTATTTTTATATTATATTTTTATAAATTTGTTATATTATTTATTTTTTAAAAAACATGTATATATATGACGAAAATAATTAAAAAAATACTTGTATTTTTGTTTTTACTTTATTTCAATTAGTATGTTTTATTTTCTTTTAATAATTTATTAATTTTTAAAGAAAACAAGTCGGATTGGATTGGATTTGAAGATTTGACTTATCAATAGGATTCAAATTCAAATCGAGTCCTATAAGATCCAATCGGATCGGATTCAACATGAACAATATCGGATCGGATTTAAATATACCCTGATTTGAATCTGATCCGATCCATTTACATCCCTAGAAAATGGTAAATCAATAAGATTTTGGAAAGATAGATAGGCTGAAGATGTGATGCATGAGGAGACTATTCCTCAAGAAATGATTAACGATAATGAACTTTTAGTGAGTGAGGTTATGGAGGAGAGATGAATGTTTGGATGGAGTGTAAAATCCGGAGCTTCGTCCCATCAATATATGGGAGAAAATCAAATCTATTTTTATTCCCTTGGGCTCAAGGGAAAACAATCTAATATTGGAGATTAGTTACTGATGATAAATTTTCTGTCAGCTCGGTCTATAGAATAAAGTGAACATCGATAAATAATGGAAGTAGTAACCTGAATTGGAATTCAATTATTTGGGATTTAAGTTGTCCCCTGAAATTGAAAACCTTTATGTACCTTCTCCTGAAAAGGAAGCTCCCTACAAAAGTTTTCCTTAAAAATAAAGGATTTAATGTCAATGGAACTTGCAGCTTTTGGGGTGAAGATGAAGATCTTGATCATATTTTTGAAAACTGTGAAATTGCCAACCAAGTACGGAAAATGTTGCCATCTTCCTTTGTTAATTCTAACGATCTTGATCACATGGGTAAATGTACTTACCCCGGCAAGTGTTCCAAGAAAAACTTACCTAGTAATTGCATTTACCCAGAAAATCGAACAAGGCCTTATTGTTTGCTCGTCCAGTAGTCATCCTCTACTATCTCAAATCTTCCTCCTCTTCATTGGTCTTCCCTTCCCTTCCCTCCTCATCAGAGCTATGTTAGTACACAAATACTACTCTCCTTTTCCTCTAATCAATGTGGTCATGATAAAAATCTAAGGATACTGAGACTCCCATATCCAAGTTCTTTGATCAGCTTTGTTGGTGCATTTCTCAAATGCAGAAGCACCCCTTCATTTTGTCCACCTGATTCCTTCACCAACTTCTACGCTTCTTTTATTGCTATGTAAACAGCAAAAGACTTGGGAGCCAAAACAAAGTATGCTACACATTGTGCAAGGATCACATTGCACTTAGGCATGCCCAAAAAATGGCAAGCTTGGTAACAAGGAACAGCTTGATTTAGTGCAGATGGGTTAGCCAATCCAGCATTCCCACTTGCAAACCTGATGAGGTGCCAAGCAATGTACACTGGCTGCTCTCTTCCTTCCAACATTCTTGCTAGCCAGTAGATTTTTGCATCGGCATCACTTCCCCTCATTGATTTGTGGGGTGCACTAATGAAGTTATAGTGTTCATCCCTTGCCCAGTCATAATCCAGGTGCTTGCATTGCAGTGCTTCTTTGACATCATCAAGGGTGGCATTGGCTACATTTGAACTTGCCCCGTTTTCTGCAGTTCGGGAAGAGCTGCTGTCAGTATCACCATTGGTATCCATCACACTAGTTGCATCAGAAGACAGTCCCTCAAACATTTTAGCTTGAGAACATGAAGTGTGATCTTGATCGGGGGTCTAGCAATTGGGTCTTCGAGTGGTAGCCATTGTTGCAGAGATCTCTAGAGCATTCAAAGCAACTCGAGCATCCCCATCGCAATTCAAACCCAGAGAACTCAAGGGGTTATGCTGGTTTTGCTTAGTATAAGTGTAAATGCTTCTCTTTTGCTTCAATAGGCTCTCCCACCATCCATGCTTGTACGGAGAGAGTAGACGACGATGAATGAATTTGACAAAGTGGAGGGAACTGGGTAGACAAAGTGGCAGTTTTCTCTAGTTAGCAAAGAGACACACCCCCACATATGAATGGAAAAAAGCCCAGAATAACAAATCAATGAGCGGGGTTAGCATTTCTTGGGCTAGCCCTTCGTCCCTAACTAGTGACGCCCATCAGAGCATAGTTGACATTGAAACACATTACGCCACACTCTTTCGATGCATTGGATGATCCATTAGTTCATCACACCATTCTCCATGAATAGATTTCGTCCCTAACAAGTACACAAAAGGACTAATTACAAGCAGACTGGTTTTTCAATAATATTTTCAAAATCAAGAACGGGAAAATTGTGAACTGTGACATGTTTGAACAACCTAGAAAACCACCAAGATTCAAGCGCAAGCAACTACAAAAGTGTTTGAAATTTGGACTCCGAAACTCCCATCCGCTTCAGGACTAGGGTACTCGAGCTTCGTTTCATGACAGACAACTCAGGAGGGTTCTAGAAGATTGTGAGGTGGTGGGTGAGGGTGATGGATGTAGCAATAGAGACGGGATCTGCTCCTCACAATTGGGCGCCTGAGCATTGAGAACATCTCCCGTGAATAATAATTGATAAGTACGGGAGATGTTCTAAATGGTAGGAGGTGTGTGAGGCGCCAGGTGTGAGGAGCAGATTCAGTCTCGTAGCAATAGGACTGTCAATGGATCGGGTCTGGGTCAGAACCAGCTGGAACCGGAATCAATCCAACATGAAATGTTGAGAACCTGAACCGGGAACCGGACCCGATAGGGCCTGTAATTTTTGGACCCGGAACTGAACCAACCGATTCTTGGGACAATCGGGTCTGACCTGGAAGACCCGATTATAATAAATAAAAAATGTTTATGTTTAATATATATTAAATATTCTATATATTATATAATTTAGTTATTTAATATATTATACGTTATATATCAGGTCGGGTCTGAATCAGTTCAGGATTAGGTGGAACCGTTTCTTAACCGATAGTAATCAGGACCTGGAACGGACCCGTCGGTTCCAGTTCCCATAACCAAAACCAGCCCAATCAGTTTGGGTCCATCAGGTCGGAACCGACCCATTGACAGCCCTATGTAGCAACAACAACAGCGGTGGCAGTAGCGAGATATAACAAATGCACAACAATGGAGAACTTAAGAAGGTTCCTGAAATTAATAGTGGAGGGCAAGTTTGACATTTCATTTTCTTTCATTGGTGCTTAATAATGATGGCAATTGTTAGCAATAGTAGGGTATTTTAAGGCAATATGTAAACAGTAAAAATAGAGTTAGTCAATTAGCTAAACCATAAAGGTAGTTTAAAAAATTTGCCACTGCATTCAATGTGTTGAAAGGCATTTTTTTTTTTATTTTTTTAACTTATTCTCTCAATTCTAATGATGGAATTTGGAATATAATATAAATTGTCTAAAACTCATCATGACATATTGTTATTTCTCTTAAATCTCACCATAACTTTTTCAAAATGTGGAGGGAAACCATGACAGTAACTTGACATTAAACAGAGTAACGGGTGTTAGTAGATTACTATTTTACCCTTTGTCATATTTGACCTATATTTTAATATTTCAGAAATACCCCTATTATTATTCTACCCAAAACCCATTTTGAGCTTTGCTGGAATGCTTTCAAACAACACAATCATAACAAAACATCTCTCAATGAGTAGAAATCTTATATATAAGGCAATTGGACACTAAAGACCATTTTAGTTAGAAAAATATGTTTAATAAGGCTGAAT